AATAAAATACTGTATTGCTTTTAAGTAAATTATGCCTCAGTTTTATTAATAATTTCAATCATAATCTATTTTGACAAAAACATGAGTGCTTTTCTTCAAGTAAAAGAAATGAGACAAAGCTTTTATTATATAGTATGAAAAAACGCACATTAATGGATAATTTCAAAGCTGGTAATATATATTTTACTTTGTATTAATTTTTTGTGTTATTTTTCTATGAATAGAAAAATAGATGAGTGGAGAATACAGTGTGTTGTCATGGAGGAATATTCCATGAGAAACAAAATACACAAGTTCTCTACGACTATGTCCACTAAAAGATATCAACCACCAGAGTGAAATGTGTAGCAAAACCAACATTAATAGCAGCATTGCTAGCAAGACATAATGTGTAACATATAGATTCAATCATTCATTCAACAGATATCTGGGCATTTATAAACCATGCATTATGCTAGATTCTGTTAAGAATGAGAGGTCAGGAAATGAGATGATTGGCAAACAGTTACATGGTTTTGTTGTGGCACAAGGCATAGGTACAGAATATGAAAAGCAGAAGTAAAAACATGCTTAGCAAATGGCAGAGATGAGCTTTGTGGGATAAAATGAAATATCATTGTAGCAGAGAAAGTTATCACATGGGACTAAAAAGAATAATAGATAATGGGCATATGGATGAAGACAGGATGGATTTCAAACCAGAAACCTGCAAATGGTCAAAAGGAGCAGAACAAGGTGGCATTACAGAGGACCAAATGTGGAGTGAACACTCAAGATGAGTTCAAGTTTATAAGAGAAACTGTTTTCAGGGAAAGCCTTTCTTCTTAGGTACATACAAATACCAAAAGGAGACAACATGAAGAATTCCTTTATTTTCAGAGAGGCCCTAGTAAAAAGATTTTGATTATAAGCCAAAGATATGCAATTAAGTATAGGATCAAATACATTAACTAGGTATTCTTTTTTCCCAACAATTTCTCATAATTGTTAACAACAGACTAATTCATAAATGTAAGATTGCTAATTGATGACTGTCAATGGTTTTAACAGAAGGAGTAAATTCAGACCAAGTGTGCTTAAGTAACACTCTTCAAAGTTCATCTGTATGACAGCTTCAGAGTCCTGTGTGTTCCGGCCCAGGGCCATGGCACTGTCTCTGTCACTCAGCTTCCCCCTGCAAATTTTGGGAAGATAGCAGCCTCACTCCAGTGGCTACATTAGGAATGAAATGAAGTAGGACAAATGCTTTTGAAACTTTTTTCTTTTTTTTTTTGCAACACTGGGGCTTGAACTCAAGCCCTCATGCTCGCTAGGCAGGTGCTCTACCACTTGAGCCATTCCACCAGCCCAGAACAAATGCTTTCAAAAATTCATATGCTACACTATAATGAGTACAATAAAACCCTATTAAATTAGAAGATGTTATCAAAAAATGAGCAAAATATATAAAATTTCTATACCCACTTCTGCTAATGTCCTAAAGTCTAGGCCAAATGATGTTATTTAAAAGACCTCCCTGTCTCTCCCAAGGAGGGTCAAAACACTGGGCCTCGCAGCACTGACTGTCTCTTCTATAAATCACATGACCCCCTGCCTCAGATTAGGTTCATTTTGTGGTCTATTACCTCTTCCTCTAAACTGTTTGCTCTTTATAGAGGAGATTACATCTTTATGTCCTCCTTTATTTCTGTGCTCCCCACCAACTTGGCACAAAGCTTCACAGTTATAAATAATTCAAGACAATTGCAAACTTAAGTAACCCAGTCAAACTAACTACTAATGCTTGTAAAGTGCTTTACTAAGTATATCACATACAATACCTAACAGAGTAACTGCAGCAAGTAATGAGCATGCAAAGCTCCCAGGGGGAGCTTCCAGCTGGCAGAGCTGGTTTGCTCTGAACACTGTCATTTACAACACTTCCTCTCAAGACTCTCCTACTTCACCTAAGAACACTGCAGTATGGAGATCACAGCTCAAAAACATTAATTTATTAAGTGAGACATTCATTTCCAGGGTGCAAATGGTAGAGCACCTCTGTAGCAAGTACCGCCAAAAAAAAAAAAAAAAAAGAAGACAGCTCAGTTTGCCTGGTCTTGTTTTCCCCTAGTCATATTCAACTGTGTGAGTAGGCAGGTAATTGATATTTGCCAGATGTAAGGGTCTAGGTGGTTTAGGGCATATGCAAAGGAATGATGGTAGCAACGAACTGTGACATCTAAGTCCGTCAGAAGGAAGGTATGACATGTAGGTGGTGACAAAACAGTAGAATCAATATATTTTAGGTTTCATGAAGAATGACTGCAACTGGAGTTACTACATGAAGGCAGTGGTCTTCATGTGAGATGCTCAAACTTGAGAGTATGAAGGGATTGCAGTAACAGTAATGACCATGTCTAGGACATGGGTGCATGGGAAAAACTAAGGAAAGATCATGGAAGAGAAAGGGATCAATGGTCTAATATCTGCTTCAAATCCTGAACACACACAGTATTTACATTCTATGTGCTTTTTCTGACAAGAAAACAAATGAGAAACTCTGACGTTTCTCAAATGGGGTTCCATCAGAGAAAATGACTTGAGCAACTGTTTCTCTCAATTATATCAATAGTGAAAAATATGAGAAACCATTCTAGATGAATAGGAAGTAAGTCAGTTCATTACATTCAATATGTTAGGCCATTCATTTTCTCATGAAACACTGGATGAGCAGGGTAGAGAAAAAAGATCTCACAAAATAAGGTTTGTTTATTTTTTCTCGGACTTTACCCTGAATAATATACTCATTCCACCTAAGTAGCAGTTTTCAATTTGCAAAGTACTTTTACATAAATATCACATCTGAGCCTATCAACCACTAAGTGAGATAAGCAGGCAAGATATAAGACTTAAGATATAAGACAAGCAGGTGAGATTAAGCAGTAAAGGTATAATTCAACTACAATTGTAATTATGATTTTATTCATTTTTTTGAGACAGTGTTTCACTATGTTGTCAAACTGGTCTCCTACTCCTGGGCTCAAGTGATCCTCCTGCCTCAGCTATTAGGGGCTGGGACTATAAGCATGTGCCACCATGTCCAGCAACTGCAAAAAAAAAATCCTATTGATGAGGCAAGAAGCAAGTATGTTAACTGACAGGATGAAATTCAGGTTTTCAGGATCCTCATCTAGGACAAAATGTACCTTTTTCTATAAACAACCTCAAGCTTTAGGACAAGTGTTAACTGCCTGTGAAGTCTTCCTGTACCCCACCCCTTATAACCCTACTCCACACCATGTCCTTCTACTATACTACACTGTATTTGTCTCTGATCTTCTTCTAGACTTTAAACTCCTGGGAGACATGGAGAGTGTGGTTTTGATATGTGCATATAGACCTTAACTTGAAATTATTAGTGGGGGCTGGGCACAGAGGCTCATTCCTGTAATCCCAGCTACTTGAGAGGTAGAGATAGGAGGACTGAAGTTCAAGAGCAGTCCAGGCAAAAAGTAAGTGAGACCACGTATCAACAAATAAGCTGGTCATGGTAGTGTACACCTACAAACACTGGAGGCTGTCAGTAGAAGGTTCACAGTCCCAGGCCAGTCTGGGAAAAAAGTGTGAGACCCTATCTGAAAAATAGCAAAAAGGGCTGGAGGCATGGCTCAAAAGGTACAGTGCCTCCCTAGCAAGGGCAATGCCCTGAGTTTAAAAACCAGTACTCTTAAAAAAAAAAAAAGTGGAAAAATGGAAGCCGGGAAGAATAATATAAGGATTAATATATTAGAAACTAAAACTTTGTACAATGTAAATATTGTGTCTATTTGAGATTTGAAGGGAGTTATTCAAGCTGAGTCAGAGATAAATAGATTATGGAAAGTGTTTCATGAGGTGATGGTGCAAATAGGCTTAGACAAAAGACACTAATAGGAAACATGATAGCTATTTCCACATATCTTAAGTAATCACAAAGAGAGGATGTCATGTTCTTTCAAAAGGCATAAAAGGATATCAGAAATAGAAGTTGTAGGGAGGAAGATTTTGGTTTAATAATAAAAATCAAGGACTGGCAGAGTGGCTCAAGTGGCAGAGCCTGCCTTGCAGGCACTTGAGTTCAAAGCTCAGTACTGCCAAAAAAAAAAAAAATCAAACCCTTCTGATAAAATTTTGAGACAATGGGGGCAGTGTAAATAATGTACAATGTAAGTCTAATTGGAAATGTCACTACGAATTCCCCCTCCCGTATAATGAATATATATCCTAATAAAAATTATTATAAAAAAAGAATCAAATAGGCATAAACTCTCTGTGTGAGGTCACTCTCCTCACACAGGATGAAACCATTAAGTATACCCAGCATTTCAGTGAAGGGGTCACCAGAGTGTAGCTGAATGATGTCTTGCTATCATCATAAATCTAGCTAGCACAAATCTAGTCATCACAGGTAATGATTACTCAGTAAAAAGTGCAGAATATCAGACTTTGACTCTGATTCAAAGCAACATGTGATTTTTTTAAAGAAAGTTGTACTTTATTGGTACTTAAACAATAATTTTCCCATGTGGTAGATCATGCCTATAATCCTAGTTGATTGGGAAGATTGTAGTTCAAGACCAGCCCAGGCAGTGTACAAGAGCCTGAATCAACCAATAAAACCTAGGTGTGACTGCACATGCCTGTCATCCCAACTACCTGGGAAGAGTAAGTAGGAGATTTGTAGTCCAGGCCAGCCCAGGCATAAACACAAAACTGTATGCAAAAAATAACTAAAGCAAAAAGGGCTGGCAGTGTAGCTCAAGTGGTAGAATACCCAAATACAAGATCCTGAGTTCAAACTCCATGAAAAAAAATTAGTTTTGGTTTAAGCATTGCCTATTTTTCCTGGATAGTTTCTAATATACAGACCTAAGTATAATACATTTATATAAATGTCAATTTATGTAAGAATTTTTCTGAGTTTTGTTCACCTTTCCCACAATATATTTCATTTTCTCCTTGCAATAGGACAAAAACAGAACATGGGCTTTTTAAGTCCAGTATGTATCCTTTTCTTCTTTTTTGGAGCCCAAGTATATTGCCAATATGAAACTTATCAATGGGATGAAGATTATGGCCAAGAGTCAAATGAAGATTATGACCCAGAATTCCAATTTCATCAAAATGCTGAATACGGAATTCCTTTTTATCAGAATACTTTAGGCTGTGCCAGTGAATGCTTCTGTCCAACTAACTTTCCATCATCGATGTACTGTGATAATCGCAAACTCAAGACTATCCCAAATATTCCGATGCATGTACAGCAACTCTACCTTCAGTTCAATGAAATTGATTCTGTGACTGCAAATTCATTCATCAATGCAACTCATCTTAAAGAAATTAACCTCAGTCACAACAAAATTAAATCTCAAAAGATTGACTATGGTGTGTTTGCTAAGTTTTCAAATCTACTACAACTTCATCTAGAGCATAATGATTTAGAAGAATTTCCATTTCCTCTTCCTAACTCTCTGGAAAGACTCCTTCTTGGTTATAACAAAATCTCCACACTGCAAACACACGCCATGGATGGGCTAGTTCACTTGACTATGCTTGATCTCTGTCATAACCATCTTCATGATTCTGTGTTCAAAGAGAAAAACCTCGCCAAAATGGAAAAACTAATGCAGCTCAATCTATGTCATAACAGATTAGAATCAATGCCTGCTGGACTGCCTTCTTCACTTATGTATCTGTCTTTAGAAAATAATTCAATTTCCTCTATACCAGATAATTACTTTGACAAACTTCCAAAACTTCATGCTCTACGAATTTCACACAACAAACTGCAAGATATTTCATATGATATTTTTAATCTTTCCAGCCTTATAGAGCTCAATGTTGGACACAACAAACTGAAGAAAGCATTCTATGTTCCAAGAAATTTAGAGCACCTGTACTTAGAAAATAATGAGATAGAAAGTATGTAAAATTTTACTATTTTTAAAGAGCAAAAGAATGGTATTTTGACTTTTTAAAGACCAAAACATTAATAATCTCTGCCTTAAATATTGCTAACAGGGCTGTTTTGAAGTTGGCTAAGAAAATGGCAGAAATTGGCCCCAGAAAAAGGTGTGCCATTTATTTTATAGTCTTCTATAAGTTTAACTACCTTGAATATTTGGCAACAGTATGCTAGCGTATATGAAGAAATATGAGTATCCTGAGTAGTGGAACCATGAATGATTTTTATTTTTTAAAAATTGTTTCTGCTAAGAATCATTACTTAAACAATCAGAAAAGCCAATGAATCCATATTTATTTTGTTAATATAAAACTCACTTATACTTTCATTTCCTTCATTCTATTATTTGATTATTGTAAAAATAAGTATTTTAATAACACTGTATTTCATAGAGCATCAAACCCAATATAGAATTATGGGCACGATGTGGGATTAATTTTTTAATTTGTATTTTTCAGATATCAATGTGACAATGATGTGTCCTTCTATTGACCCACTACATCACCGCCATTTAACATACCTTCGTGTGGACCAAAACAAGCTGAAAGAGCCAATAAGTTCATACATCTGGTTCTGCTTCCCTCACATACACAGTATTTATTATGGTGAACAAAGAAGCACTAATGGTCAAATAATACAACTGAAAACCCAAGTTTTCAGGAGATTTCAAGATGATGATGATGATGACAATGGGGATGATCATGATAATGATGACAACACTCCTGAGGGCCAAGAACAAGAGGGGACAGAACAACACCTTGACCCTCATTACTATGAAATTCAAGAATGGCAAGACACTAGATAGGTATATACTTACGATTTCATAAAAACTACCACTCAATATAAACCTAAATAAACACATATGCTCAAAGTAATACATCTAGAATTATGTATTAGTAAAAGATAAGAATTGCATTTAAGTTTTTGATGGCAACTGCATGACTACATAGGATTAGA